AAGTGCTGCCAACTCTTCCTTTGGGATCTGGGGAGTCTCATTCCCCTGCATAATCTGAACCTGCACTCTGGGGAACCCAGGCTGTCAGAGCCGTTCACACCTGGGAGGAAATGAAAACCCAAAGATGCCCCTATCTGGAGGGTTCAGGGGACCCTTCTGAAGAGGGAAGACCCAGAAAGGGGAGTTTGGGCCCTCTGAAAAGACTAATTTGGTGAACTGGAAATACTCTTTCTGCTGTAGCTTCTAGAACAGGGATTTGGTTACTCTGAAGTGCAGGTCACTCGTAAACAGCACAACTCCCCATGAGGGAAGTGGAGAATCTGAAGCCTGCCTTGTCTTCATGCCCAGCTGAATCAGAGGGCAGCGTCAAGGCAGCTCCTAGTAAATGCTCTTTGGGCTCGAGAAAGGCGATGTCCCAGAGAGAAATGCTTTAGAGAGACAAACAGACCCAATGGGGATGGGTGCTCATCTAGCCTGGAGGACCCCTGGGACAAACCGCCCATTCCTTTTGTTTTATTTATTTACTTATTTTTGAAATAGGGTCTCACTCTGTTGCCCAGGCTGGAGTGCAGTGGCATGATCTTGGTTCACTGCAACCTCAGCCTCCCGGGATCAAGGGATTCTCTAGCCTCAGCCTCCTTAGTAACTGGGACCACAGGTGCGCGCCACCATGCCTGGCCACCATTCCTTTTGTTTCTATTTTTAATGGATTTACAGTTGACTTATGTCCACATCAAGTTTAAAGCAGCTTTCAACAATCCACTCAAGAATGACAAAACAGGCCATTTTGAAGAGGGAAAGGAGACCTTTGTGGGACTCACTGAAAGGGCAGAGTGAAAATGAGAGAGGCAGCTCAGTGAACTTCATTCTCAGGAATAAAAGCAGGAGCCCGCAGCCTCAGAGGACAGAGCACGGACAAGGAGAACTTGAGAACGCTGTCATTCAATAACTGCTGAAACTCCCGAAGCCTTTGCCCAGGGCTCCACTATCCCACCCCTTCCAAGGCTGGTAATGAAATTACTCCCAGAGACCAGAGCACTGAGAAATGCGTCCTCAAAGTCCCCTGCCTCCTCACAAGCAGGTAGAGCTGATGGGATTGTGCAGCGGAGGGCCCTTGAAGGTGGCCTTTGAGGACAAACACGGTCCTGTCTTTCTGTCAGTGAATTGAGCCTCAGAACACTGACTCAGGAGCCGATCTGCCTGAGTTTCAATCCCAGCTCTCGCACCGACTAGCTGTGTGATCTTGGACAAGTGACTTTATCTCCCTGAGTCCCCAGTGTCCTCACCTGTGAAATGGAGTAACGATAGTACTAACTTCTTAGGGATGTTATGAGGATTCGATGGGCCAATGTTTGTGACGCTCTCAGAACATGCCTCGCAGAGACATGAGTAAATGTTCTACAAATGTTCATTAACTCACGTGCTAGAACTAGGTAAAGCCAGTCTCATCTGGTCTCATCTGTACTCTGTTCTTTCTCTTCCTGGCATCCAGCACTGCTGAAATGGCAGTTGTTACAGCAAAGATCAGCTGAGCTGAAGGGTCAACCTCAGAAGGAAACAAACTAAACGGAGATTCCACCCCCATCTTCTGGACTCTGCCCAGGGATGTTCCCCACATAATACTCAGCCCTCTGGTTTCATCCCTCTGCGTCCCAGCCTTAGCCCTGGTGGCAAAGATAACTTCTCTTGCCTTCATCAGCTCCTTCCTTATCTCCCTATCTCGAAACCACTGTCTTTACTCTTATCAGCTGAGAGACTTCAACCCAAGTTGGCAATAGGCTTGAAGTGGAAAGAAATGATTCAAGGTGGGGAGGGTTGAATGGCTGAGTCTTTGTATTGAAGTTGTTTGGAAGATGTATGAGTCACTGGACTCTTGCTGTGGACTGCTGAGACAGTGGACTTCTCCTTATTTTACTTTTTGGTCCAAGGCTAGCCTAAAGGCCAAATTCTGAAATTGGAGGTGATCCTCTCTGGGGTACCTCCTGACTGTGCCTCTGATTTTGCACCCTGATGCCACTCCAGGCTTATCACCCTGACTTCCAACCTGAGTCTGCCCTCGCTGGACACCATTGCCTCCTTGACTTCCATCAGAATACACCTTCCTGACTTACATGTTCTCCCACCAGCTGACAACCACTAGGTGTCCTGAATCACAGCTGAGGTCACAATAACAACTTACGTCATGAGTGTGTTGAGAAAATGCATATAAAGCGATGAGCACGCAAGGAGTTCTAGCAGCAGGAATACAAGCAGCTCTGTTGTGGGAACCCCAGGGAAGGGTGGAACCTGGAGGAAGGCCAAGATAAGAGAGGTGGAGTGAACCTTGGCAGTAATGGTGCAGAGATGGCATTGCAGGCGGTGGTTGCAGCGAAGGACAGCGGTCTAGGGACAGACTGGCAGCAATGAGGTAAAAAGCAGCCTAAGGGAGCACAGGCAGACAGCACCATGGCCTGGAATAGCCAGTGGCAACAGGAAAGTCAGAGACCCAAGGGGGCTGTGAGCACTGCAGATCATCCCCTGAGGATGTCCCGAGTCACTGAGGTTGAAATCATAAAACAATACCTGAGGTTTTGCAGTTCTGTAGGTAGGAAGGAGACTTTTGAGTTAGCACATGTCCAATCTAACCATTCATGTGACCTCAGAGGCTGAGGGACTGGGGACACTTGGCCTTGTGGGCACAGCATGTGATCGCTGCTTCCAAATTCCCTTCATTCTTTCCCGTCAGGTTCCAGCATCTCATGCTGGGAGACAGGCAGGGTTCTCACCAGCAGAAGAGAATACAGGCTTGGAGAAAAACAGTGGCTTTGCCCAGGTCCAAGCTGACCTGTGACAGAGCTGGGACTCGAACCTGGGTCTGGGGGACTTAAAAGCCCATGCTCGTTCCATGGGGCCTGACTGTCACCCCGATCTGAAGATCCTCCATGGCTCCCACTGCCCTCAGGATAGAATTCAATCTCTTCAGCTCAGTGGCCAAGGCCTTATTCCCTAACATTGCCCATCTCTCCTTGTCCACATTTTCTCCACCCATCAAAGTCCAGCTCAAAAGTCATCTCATCTCCCAAGCCCTCATCACCTCAAATTCATCCCTCCATCCTGGGGACTCCCGTAACATTTTATTGCAGCTTCTATTCTCAAAGCCTCACATTAATCTTTTGCTTTCTCAACAATTCTTCTTTCTAAGGTCACCTATCCCCAAGGGCGGGAGCTTGCTTTTTATAAATATCCTATCCAGGACAGAGCCCAGCAATTAATGGGCTCAACCCAAGTTTGTGGAGTTGGTGCTAAACTCCACCATTGTTGTGTGTCCCAGCCTCCCCATCCTTAACTTGAAAGGAATGCTCTGAATGGAGGGCAATTTTCCAGCCCCAGAATGCTGCTCTGGTGCTGTTGGGTACCTCGTCCATCACATCTGCCCTGCTTTGATACAAAGCCACCCTGCCTCTGTGTGTGTGGTCACAGAGAAGGGGGCAAGAGCTCATTTAATGAAAGCTGATCTTTGGTGCTATGAGGCCCAAGACCTCTTCACCCAGACAGCCAGGCATCAGAAAAGGGAGTTTCTGAGGGTTGGACGTCCCTTTGCTATGGTTGGTAGGTCCACTGGTCAGCTCCTTTTCAGCAGCTCACAGCTGCCCATGGCTTCTCCTTCTTCTTGTGAAATTTGTTGGAGATTATGTTAGGCCATTTTGCATTGCTATAAAGAAATACTTGAGATTGGGTAATTTATAAAGAAAAGAGGTTTAATTGGCTCACAGTTCTGCAGGCTGTACGGGAAGCATAGTGTTGGCATCTGCTTTTGGGGAGGCCTCAGGAAGCTCACACTCATGGAGGAAGGCAAAGAAGGAACAGGCATTTCACATGGCAGGACTGGGAGCAAGAGAGACAGTGAGGGGAAGGTGCCATACACTTTTTAACAACCAGATCTCGTGAGAGCTCACTCACTAATGCAAGGACAGCACCAATGCATGAGAGATCCACCCCCATGACTCAAACATCTCCCACCAGACCCCACTTCCAACAT